TTTCATCCGTATAGGAATCATCAGGTGGTGAATAATTTCGAAATTGTAGGTTGCTTTTATGCTATCGAAAGAATGTGCGGAATGCGTGTAGGCGAAACAATGCTTAGGCGAAACAATGCATGCTTGGGTCATTAGGTTTTGTTAACGACCTTGTTTACTCGAAACTGGTTTTTGTGACGACATTTGCCGAAAATTTCGCTTCTTTTATTGAGTAAATTGTCTTTGTTTATGTCTTTCAAAAGACAGTTTTGGTATTAAATACGGTTTAAAATGTATTTTGACAGTTTGTTTACGTTTGCTATTTTTAGCAGTTTTTGTGACATAAAACTGACATTTGAAATAAGAGTATTTTTCAGGGAGGTCGCGTAATTTTGAAAATGGGTTTAAATTACAGCTGCTCCCATTAATTGATTACCTTTTTTGTTTTTTTTGGCAATTGATGATTCTGAACTTGGATAACTTTCCCGATTGAAAAAATCACGAGAAGATGGTTACCGTATTGTTCGATGTGATCAAATGACAATCAAATGACTTATTTTTTTATTTCTCTGCTACCACTAGCGCTCTCATTGGCTATCAAATAACACATGCCCTTTCTTGAAAGCGACATTAACCACTGTAGACATGTCCAGCTTGTTTTCAAAACGATTAAGCATACAGTGTATAATGTGCAGGAAACTTTAACAGTACTGTTGCTTCCTGGTATACTGAGGCATTACCATGCACAATTGGCGGGTGTCGTAACTGTCGTTTACATCTTAAAACAGGAAACCTACAATTGGAAAAACAAATCCCGCCATGCATGGATCATGTTTTGGGAAATCAACTTTTCTCCTGCCGGTCGCGGCGCAAAAACCTAGAGTAATATAAAGTCGGTTTTCCAGTACGAAGCGAACAATGAATTTCGGAGATATCATTGCATGGTTAGCGAAAAAAATCGTGCAGTGAAAAACCAGCTTTACGAAATCTTTGAAAAAACGGGGTTAGGGTTAGGGAGATGTTTACAACGAGGCTACAGTCACTTATTGTCAGTTACCAAAACAATTTAACTAAATTTCCATGCAAAGCAAGATGTGCAAAATGAATGCACAGGATATACTTAATGGATAACTTTGTATTATTCATTGTATGTTTCTAGTTAAGTTCGATCAAATCGGTTGATGGTGATCTTACTTTGTTACATTTCTTGGAAGAAATGATATCAGTATATTATCCTGAGGTTGCTGGCTTTGAGATGGAAATCAATCACGTAGAAGCTGCGGCAAAAAGTATGGAATGAAAACATGTCTTGACACTGCCTCGTACCCAGGCGCTTTGGTTACACAGTTCGAGTTCTAAGTAATTCGAGCACTGTGATTCACACGTAAGCCACACAGTGGCGTAGTAAACCCTGGCGGTATACACGTAAAACGTACAAGTTGTGACAAACCTGCAGCCGACTTGTAGAGCAGACAAATTATTGGAGACTTGTTCCAACAACTTGTCAACAGAAGGTGTTCGCACTGCTTGTTCCCGACTTGTTGACAAGATGTGAACGGCTTGTAGTGACAATTTGCTACAAGGTTGTTGAGTTCAGCAGACTTGTTACAAGTTGTTCCAACGACTTGTTATCGTCCTGCATTTCAACAATTTGTCAACAAGTTGTGAGTGACAACCTTGCAGCAACTTGATAAGTTAACAGCGTTGTTATGACTTGTTGCAAAGATTGCTATAAGGCTGGTGTGAACAAGTCTTGTTGACATTAAGTTGTGAGATTTTTACTACTGTTCCTAGCATGCCACGCGAGGTTGATTATATCTGCAAGTATACAATAACAAAAATTGTATTTGTAATTTGTAGTGTCTCGAGAGGATATACAGAAGGCGATCAAGGATATGGAAACAAATTTATCAAAATTGAAGCCAGAATTAGAAAGTTGTGGAGATTCAAATGACCCTGAGGATAAATTTAAAGAAGTCATGTCGGAATTTTACAATAAAGCAACAGAACAATGTGGAAAATTGGTGGAAATGTTTGACAATATGACAAATAAGTTTAAAGATTTAGCAGAATATTACTGTTTTGAGTTGGAGAACACAGAAATGAACACGTTTTTTTGTTCTTTGAGTTCATTTTTACAAGAATATAAAACTGCCAAGAAAGAAAACATCAAAAGAAAAGAACGTGAAAAGAAAGAAACGCAAGCAAAAGAAAGAGCTGTAAGTTTGTGTTCAAATCTTGAACGGTCTGTGCCAGTGTAGGTAGTGCCAGTAATAAGAAAGCGTCTAGTAACTTCCGACGAAGGGCTTCGCTCGAAACGTCGAAGTTGTCGTTTTTTCAGTTAGTTATATTCCTATCAATCCGACGCTTTCTCACGTTTTTGTTCAACATTCATTCCTAGTACAGTTTGGCTGTCTCAACAGAGAAACATTTCTTGACAGGCACTGATCTCCCACATTTGTACAAAATGACAGTCAAAGATTTCTTCATTGCCACTCGCTTCCCTCTTTGTCGAGCATATCACGAGAAAAATGTCAATACATGCTTACATATAACCTTTGGTCATGTATTCACAATTGAGTAGTCTATATATCAATTTATTTGTCGTCATAATCATAGTGTAATAAGCGTGTAGTTATCTAGTCTTGTAATCGTATTTTATAGTCACGTCCGTGAAGGTCCTTCTAATGACTATGAGAGATCTGATTTGATCTCTGTGAGATCATTTCACTTTTTTGTCCTAAAATGTATACTGTAAGCTGTTGCCAAAATCTAGAGGTCTTAATCACGAGGTTCAGTGATGTAATATTTTGCCACGACTGGTGTATCGGTACAGTACGTGATGAGGGATACTTGAACTGTACCAATCCTATAGTTTCATGAACGACTCATCTTAAGCCTCGTTCAGACGAGTCCAACGTCATCCAACATTTTTATCCAAGTTCAACAATGTATAACGATATGTTGCACAATGTAGGATGTAAATTTTAAACAGATCAAGAATCTAATTCGATCCAACAACTTCCAGCACACCCAACGTAGTGTTAAATCATGGTCAACATGTCAGCTTCGTTTGGCCCTTTATGTTTGCAGTTTCATAGACCAGAGGGAACTCGAAGACTGCATACAGTACCTCCGCCAGTTATGTTCATGCATAAATTACACAATGAGCTAATTACGCATTCAGTTTACTCTGAGCAGGGCAAACTTTTGCTAATTTCTTATCCAATTTTCATCCAAACCTTGACCAAAATCGAAGCAATGTGTACTTGAGCATTGTCCTTTTGGTCCCACAAATTCTGTTTATGGACACGTCTGATCTTTTTAGGCAAAGGCGTCGCTACTCGCTAGACCTCTTGCAATGGGGGGTGTAAGTTAATTTTGCCGAGTTATCAAGGCAAATTTTGCCGAGTCACTATCATCGCTAATTAATATTTCT